TTTGGCGTCGCGCCAGACTCGTTATTCACCAATTGTTGAACCGAGCAAGCACCAAAACTATGTCATATTGTTCGTATCAGTCATTTTCTACCAACTCTTGCCGCTTACCCACTTCAACAAATGGACTCGCGCCGGGCCAAAACCATACCGCCTGACACGCCCCTTCATCCGCAGCGAACAAGACTGTAGCCAACTAAATTGAGGAAAAAAGTAAATACTACTGAGGAATGATAAAGGCTTTTGAAAATGTTGATAAAATCAACGCGAAAAAGAAGTCGACGGCATTCCTGTTATCAGTGAGTCATCTGAAAGTGCATATATATGAAATCTGACCTATAGGCCGTGTGAGTGTCCTGTCTCAGTTCGGAAATAAAGGCCAACTTGAACAACTGACGAACGACCAAGGCCGGAGAATTGTTGGGGATGGAACGAGCACGGATCGTCTGGAAATACTCGCAAATGAATCACCAGCAAAACTACTACTGGAATTATTGGAAGCTCTAAAAAATCAACCTTCAATTTCTGCTGATAGAATCCTTGCGCTAATTCATGGAATGCGGACTCCAATTTCGATACATAACCCTGGATTGAAGGAGGTCAACTCGCAAATTGTAAGTTAGTTTGTTCAACAAGGAACCATCTGGGTACAACCTACCGTAAGATCACCCAACATAGGTACAACAAACAATTGGCGAGGTGTTAAATGACATATTTGGCATAATTCATGGGCACGCTCTGTGGCTAACGGATCATCTCCCGAAGTCGGAACGGACCTGAAACAGAAAATGTTGACCGTGTTCGATCAGTTCGAAGTCTATTTGTGACACGGCGCAGTTCGGTTCAGTGGGGGCACTGAGTGGTGCTCGGTCAAGCTTGTGTAGGCTACCTTGTGAAGACCTGCAAATCTCTGCGACTGATCGTATGATTTCCCAGCATCACAGGAGTTTGCAGGTCTCACCAAAGAGGGACCTGCTAGTGAACATGAACCAAAAAAGGAAACTAGCGAAATCAGAAAAACGCCTCTCTATCCGAAAAACGCCTATGAACACCTGCAAAGATGACATACCACCTGAAGCACCCGTACGCCCTGATGAAAGCCCAACTGCCCCCCCCCGGACTAAAACTCGCTTAAGTCTGCTCTTTAGGATAGCCCATTTTGCATTTTCGCTGCTTCTCATCATCGTCTCTATAGCTTTACAAGAATGGATAGGTAGTCTACATAAACTGCTATCTTTTAATGACTTCATAAGATTTCAGATCTCCTTGATAGCTCGACAGGCGATGGGAAGCAGAGAAAGTGCAAAACGCCCCGCCTCCCTCCAAGCCGGACTGTGCCGAACAGTACTTTTTAGAATAGGAAATGTTGACGTACAGGGTAAGGAAGCGATTGTGAACCAGGGGTGGAATTCTTTGCCTTATCAAGGGGCTGATGCTTGGGGATGAGTAAACCACATTCACCCAAATCTAAAGGATTAGAGCGAAACTCCTCGCCAACACCTGTGTTCAGAGTGTCCCCAAAGCACAACTTAATCCTAACATTCGCAAAGTCACGCTCCCTGGAATCTTTATCAATTCGCTTTAATGTTATTCTGATAAAAATGACTTTACTGCGCTCAAATGTCATCGCGAGCAAGTGGCAGAAACAGCGCGAAAATGAAAGTATACGGTAACCAGAAAAATGCCATGAGTACAGCGACATCAAGACAGAATGAAACTTGCCTCTGTTGCAGTAGCACCTACTGCTAATCTGCTCGAATGTCCAGCACTGGATCGAAGACTTGCGCATTTGCTTTCAGCTTCGGTTTTCTTTTCATTCCAGGATGAATGATCCCAATCAAGGTCAAGGAATAGAACGATTAATGCTGGGACCCTCTCCAGGTATTTCGATGGCCAGTCACGTCGCAAAATGCCTTAACAACCAGAAGTTGCTTCAGAGAGAACTAAAAGAACGGAATGCAAAAGGAGAAACCTCT